AGATCAGTCTGAGTGGGAGGAAGAACATCTGACCTGTGCTTTGACTGCCGACTAAATATCGAGGCCCGTCACATAAAGTGTGTCAGGCTGTATTAAAAGAGCCACAAAGCCAACTGGCAGAGCATCTGTCTCGTCCTCATCTTCTTTATCTTAAGACGCAAAATGATTCATAACAATTTTTAAACCATAAGCAGCTCCAAAGGAGAAGAATGAAAACCCTCTACAACATCGCTTCTGATCTTCCCTCCTTTCTCGTCGCCAACGTCACGCAAGCAAACTAAGACTTCGCTCCATGTCCACACATCAAGGAGATCTCTCCCACTGTCACGTCCCTGGGAAACACACACCTGACATTTAGCCCCAGGCTGTCCCAGCTCGCCTCAGGAGACAAGGGCATCTCGGCTGAGTTTAGCGAGCTAAAACACAGACAGTTAGCAAATTAACTCTCATGTCTTTGTTTCAATAATTCAGCAGCGAGAGCGGCGGCAGGCCGAGGAAGGAAGCGATGGAGGATGAGGCAGGGCCTCTAACTGCATCTGCTTTCACATACATGCCTTTTAGAAACAATAAATACTGATTTTAAAGCGCGACGGGATAAAAGCACGATATCTTCTGTCCTAAATATGAAACATTTACACCCAGCATATAAACACAGTACGGCTGTGCCCGGTGTGGATGCAGTGATGTATCACTTAAAGGTGAATGAGAGGGTGGATGCCCGTTTGAGACATCCGTGATAGAGTGAAGCTGTTTCACTAAAGCTTATTCCCGCTGCGCAGCGGCTGTGTATATTTTTTGGGCTCAGTTATGGCATTTCCTTTGTCAAAACAAATCAGCGTCACCGAGCATGTAAACAGCAGTGGCTTTAGCCATGGGTTAATCCACACATTGTTAGACAAACACAAGCACAGCTCCCTCTCGGCTCTGTGATGTTACCTGCTGACAGAATCACGTGGAACTTTTCTCAGAGTTTAACAGCAAAACTGGATTTTTAACCCACAAAAGCCGTTTTTAGGTGAAAGAGGCAGACGAGAGCGATTGACTACCATCCTCAGCAGGTAATGAGGACGATAACATGATGCAACTTCAAAAAGGAGCTTTTGTTTTGTAACCGACGTATGTTTAGGAACACACAGAGCCTCGTTTGCTCGATGGAGGCTTTTTCCCGTGTGCTAATAAAAGGCGTGCACTTCTCATCTGTGTGCTCTGTTGCCAAACTGATTAACAACTTCAGGCACGTAGCTTCAATATTTATACTCTCTTCTTTATTTCAAGTGAGAAAACTAGCAAATTTGTGCGGATGCACCAGAAGCAGCTGACGAAAGGCGGCATTAATTGACTGTTGACATATCTGAATGAAAGCACAGTCAGCCAAAGGGTGCTGAGGGTAAATCGAGGGCTTCTTTACTTTTAGAGCAGTGTTACTGCTTGTGTTAGCGCGCAGCTCTTTATGCTTCCTTCAAAAGACTAAAATGCAGATGGCAGAGCCATCTGTGTAGAATCAAAACCATGCATTCAGACCTGAAGATCCCCATTAAAGTGCATGTAAATACATGGGAGGAGTCGGGGGAGGAGCAGAGGATGTAAAGAAACCCATGTTCAAAACAAACTGATTAACTTTACTCTTGAAGCTCTTTCCCCGCATAAATCCAACAGCACTCGAAACCACACGGACAAACCGAGGATTAGAAAACAAACGCGAGGAGCAAGTTCTTTTAGAAACCAAACACGAGTTTACAAAAGAAGAAAATCAATAAAAATAAGGTGTGGCGTCGATCTGTGAAACATTTTTGTGAATGGCGCCTTTAATTAATGTGCTGGCTCCATCAGCGCACAATTCAAAGAGGTTCCAGTTACATAGGAGACATTAATACGGAAGCTTCTGTGTCACTCCCGTCCAAATTAAATTAAATAAAACACTGAAAAGTGCAGAGAGTAATTAATTTCTCTGGCTGTGAGGGCACCGGTTCCTCCTCCACCTTTATTAGTATTAGTAGCTTGTTTTCGCTTTACAAGACGCCTCATCACAACAACGTTTCTCAAGGATCTGCAAAGAAAACACTCTCCCCCCCTCACCCCCCTGCATTTCCTGCTACCTGTGATCTCAAGACAGCTGTATGGTGAGGCCTTGGTCGTGTAGCGGAATCCACAAAAGTGAGAAACGCTCGTGTGACCGTTTCATGTGGCATTTCTGAGCAAACGGGCTGGATTCGAGCCTTGGCTTCAAGGCTGTGACGGAAATAAAAAGCACACTGTACATATGTCACAACACAATTAACAGCAAAACTGAGAGTGCATGCTGGAACATTTTGTGTAGTGACCCTGAGAGCTACTGTACATACCTGCAGCGTTCAGTACTGTAAATACAGAACAGCTTTATTAAACACTTCATCAAGAACAAAACCTCACAAGTCCTTCGGTAAATGAAGCACTGCTTTCTAAGTTAGGCTGCCACCTCGGTACTGAAGCGTGCTCCCAGTTACAGGCCCTTTTTAGGCTCCGTAAACAGAGCGGTGTAAAAAAATTAGTGTACATATCGTGATTGTTTTGGTTCCATTATTTCCAGTGTGAGGTTAATCCCTGAAAAGCTCCAGCAGCTGGCCATCACCACATTTCTGACACCCCACAGGAAGAAAACACGCTGTCGATTTTAAATTATGCACGTGCACATGCGTGAAACGTTTTAGCCACAAGACAAGGAAGCAGTTTAATAAAACATAATATAAACTTATCAGTAAATAGTCCCTCTATAACTTCTTCCCCTGGTGTAACTCACGTGGCCTGCCCACAGTCATGAATCGGCCAATTGCTTTCAGCTACACAAGGAAAACATGCTTTGAACTAATTACATTTTTCTCTGGCCTTAAATATGTGTATCTGATGTTCCTCTGCAAATTTGTGTGTCAAATCTAAGAGCCGTGCAGCTCCTTTAAAATCAAAAGGACACAAAAGTAAAAGTGGGGAAACATTCACACTTTATTATGATTAGAGCTGTTGTACAAAACCAAGAGCGTAAAGTCATATTATTCCTTTATAGATTACCTAACTGAGCACATCACACCATAATCTTCTACGCAAGAGCTGGAGCTGTGACGCCACACTGCACGCCTGCTTTAATAAGATACGAGCCCATCCGGGATGCCCTCTGTTTAATATCTGAATATGTAAAGAGTCGTATGAATATGTAAATATGAATATGAGGCAATTCAGTGATGCATTGAGGCAGCTGTTGCGAGCTCTACACTTACAAGGAAACATGTGTTGGCCCTGCAGGGCAGGTTAGGGTGACAAGACAGGTGAGCGGAGAGGGCAGGCGTCATCTGTGATGTGTGGACAACACCTGTAAGCCTGTGACATGCCGAAAGGACGCGAATATACACAGAGACGTAAAGAAAAGGTGGGAATAAATGCAGAAAAACAAACTCAGAAACGCTGTTATTCACAAGCAGCTTTAACGCAGCAGCATTCATCATTTCCAGCTCTCCAAAGACTTGTATTTCTTATGAGTTCAATTATTAATCTCCTCCTACACTATCATTTGAAATACATGCTGCCTCTGCACTGATTTCACTCCCAATAACACACGGAGCATAATCCACAGTCCCCGAACAAGCAACGGGAACACAGAACTCAAATGATAGATGGCTTTCAGCGTATTGTAAATAAACTAATGAAGCTGAGCCACACAAACAGGTGTAAACGCAGCCTCGGCGTCTGCTGGCGGTTCATGTGCAATATTAAAGCATCATATGCTGGTTCAAAGGTCACCCTGCCTGCTGTTCATGAAAACCACATGGGACTGTTTTCATTTAGGATTCACTCCTCAGCACACACACACACACACACACACACACACACACAGAACTGCTCAATTTTCCAATAAACTGATGGGAATTCAGAGTGAAATCAAAGGCTTGTGGCACAAGGCATGCACAAAGTCGTATTCGAGGAAGCTTCCACTAAGCACATAAGCGAGCCACATCTCTAGGAGGCTTAATCAATTGAATATGACACGGCAATGCATCAAAAAATACAAGAGAGTCTCTAAAGAAATTTGGCTTCTATTACAGATGCATGAGGTGCAGCGGAACAGCACAGCCTCCCAGGACCTGACAGTGTTTTTAGATTACAATTGCATCCCAGCAGGGATCCCTACACTCCTCTAACCTCAGACTGTTTACTGCTTAAAAATAGCTAATGATGATAAAACACGGCTCTGATCTAAAGTGCTGTGATGCAAAGAGGGTCCAACTCTTTGAAAGACATGCTCCAGCTTAGCAGGGACATAAAGGAGAGAGGGCGGCAGCCTCCCATCCACGAGAGACAGGGGCATTTAAAAGTTACACTGGCTTTGTGTAGTGAGCTCAAATCCTGGAAGGATGCACAGGCAAGAAGGACGATGTGGACAAATACTAAGGCACAGCAGAAATAGGCAATAAACGAAATTCTAATCATTTGTCCAATATTATGTGTTCACACAATAACAGCGCAGACTTCAGCCTAACGTTCCTCGGCGTCCTGCAAGAAGCAGCAGTTCAACATTCAGGCTCTGCTTCCCGTGACTGCAAAACTTTGGCCCCGCTCACTGAACTTTCCCTGCGTGGACCCGGCTTCACGCCTCGGGACCCCGCAGAGCAGGCAGCCCATTCCGCCACTTGCTCCTGCCCCCTCCAGAGGAGCAGGAGCAGGCTCCTCTCCACGCGCGTGGAAGTTCTGATGCCGAGAGCCGCAACAAAGTATCAGGACGGAAAGGAAACGGCAACAGTGTCGCTCCCCACGAGTGACAGAAGTGTGCGCACGGCAGCCGTGTTTCAGACACAAACACGCAAACTGGAGCCACGAGCAGAGGAAAAAGTTTATCGCGCACCTCCGAGGGGGTCACGGGGAGGAGGGAGGAAAGAGTAAAGCGGCTCCTGTGAAATTACCCTCGCTACTTTACAAAGTTGTGCCGCTCGCTCCTCCGCGCGCTCACACACACACACGGCGGCTCGGTCACTTACTTTTCTCGCGCCTGGCTGTCGGAAGGGACGACGGCTCCTTTACCTTTGGCGTACATGCTGCTTCTGTTTTAAGACTTTTGCCCCACTCAACACCTGTCAAAGAAAGCAGCCAGCAAAACGCTCCATCTCCATAGCTACCCCTTTAGTGTTTTTACTCCCCCCTTCTCCTCCCCCTCCTCCTCCTCCTCCCTCCTCCTTCTCTCTCCTCTCCCTCCCTCTCTCTCTCTCTCTCTTTTTTTTTTTTTTACATCTCCAACATTGGCCACAAATCAGGCACAGTTTCTACTGGGGGGGACTTGAAACCGTCCTCCGTTGGATTTTTTTCCCCTCCTCAGCCGCTGTTCCGCAGGCCTGCTCTTCCTCCCTCTGTTAAGCAAACGGTGGGGGCTCCTTAAAGGGAAACACACACTTCTTGTTTGCGGACCGCAGGAGGAGAGAGGAGGGGGAGATGGGAAATGTACGCTGGCGAGGACTTTGCTCTGTGGAGCGATTTTTTTTCTCCTTTCTTCATCCCGTGAATTTAAATGTCAGTGCCCACTTTTAGTGCTTTTGCACCTTTACCTGTCGGTTATTTGTTTTTAATGTGGATTGTGTTAAAGATGGATGGAGGTGTTCTGAAAGGTGAACCCAAAGAGGAGCCAGCAGGGGGCGTCACCTCTGGTTATATAAACACTGCTGCTTTATAGAAGTCTATGGAGGGAAAGGTCCTCCATTACGTCCAAAGTAAACACTTTTTCATAGAGCTTTTAGGCTTAGTCCACAGTTTCGGGTCATATTGAATTAAGCATGATGTTCATTTTTTAAATTATGGTCATTATTAATGTCAGACACTTTATGCAGGGTGTGCTTCAGGGGGTGTTTTTCAACCCACGACACGGGCAATGATGAAAACGCTAAACTCAAAGCTTCATAACTCGAGGCTATCTAGTTGGTGATACCGCCACTTTTTAAACATCAATGGAAAGAACAAATGTGATGTTTTGATTTTCAATAACGGCACAAACAGTGTTGTGCTCTGGTCTAATAATGAGAAAACCAACAGAAATGCTTAGCTGTCTATTACTATTGCCTGTCACCCCTCCCAGGGTAAGAGCCGCTCAAGGTGGATCTCCAGAGATAGCCGTCTGGTGTTATAGAAATACGGTGTAAGTATGTTTTTAGAATAACTCTAGCAATCTCCTCCAGTGGATTATGTTTTGGAGTTAAATCTACCCCTCCAACTGAACCCGTTTAGCCCGATTAGCCCCTTCAGCACCATCATTTCCTCCTTTGCACGCTGGTCGTGAAGTTGCAGAGGAACAGAGGCACACCACGCACGTCGGCCTCTTGTGCACGCAGTAAAAATGAGACTTAATTTACTTAATGAACCTGAACTTGTGTGGAGGTTGGAGGTGTGGATTTGACTTTCCTTCAGTTTATCTTCCATCATAAATTCAATTCCAATTTAATTTCATATCAACTTTCATGCACACATGAAGCTCACAGTAGTTGAAGTAGTTAAAAAATAGACGACGGGAAACAGAATTTAGTAAATTTGTACAACAGTGAATTTTTAGTTACCTAAAGCATACACTACATGGTCCAGTGTGTTGGGTCGCCTACACGTCACATCTACAGGGGCTGATCATCCGTGAAGCTCCTGGTGTACGGTTTCCATGATGATGGTAATCCTGCTGGAGGTTTGGAGCTCAGCTGATCTTCTCAGCACTCAGCGAAAGGGTTAGGGATAAGGGAGATTCTGGCATGCCAGAAGCACAATGCACAACCAGCTGGGCATAGTGTAAATATGCACAGCACGTGACACTGCAGGTAACGGTCAATATTTAAGGTAGAATAAGGGACGAAACAATTTTGTTCATCATGCGTGATGTCCCATCTAAAAGGGGACAGTTGGCAACCCTACTGTAACTCCATGTGGTCTCCCAGTTTGTGGCTGAGTTGCTATGGTTGCTAAACACTTGCACTTTGCAATAATAGGGCAGTCGTGGAAATAAGAAAACCTATTGCAGCACCACTCTCTTTAGAACAATGAAGCATACTGTCACAAATGTTTCTAAGGGCCATCTGCACAGCTAGGTGATCTTGTACACGTACTTCAGTGGGGCTGAAAACACCTGAAGATTTAAAGGTGTGGTCCAGAACTTTTATCGATATGTTGTCCATCAAACTTCACCAAGCCAGTTTATCTCCACATGTAGATATCGCAGAAGCTGATCCTCTAATGCTGATGTTCTTGTCTTGTGATAAAATCCACTGCAAACTGTAAAGTTTACAGCCCTACTTCACTGTAACTCTACATAAAAGTCATATGTGCCCTGAGTGTTCCTGATCTGTGACTGAGTTATTGCATATTTTCAGTTTTTTTGTGATAGAAGCAACTAAACTTAAACTTCACCCTTACCCTATGTGTCTGCACGATAGCATTTGTGCTTTGGGTTTATTTGCACCAGGCTACCTCTGAACATCTTTAGATTAAAGTCGTGAACAGTGTTGGTCAAGTTACTTGAAAAAAGTAATCAGTAACTAATTACTGATTACTTCCCCAAAAACGTAATCCCGTTACTTTACTGATTACTTATTTTCAAAAGTAATTAATTACTTTTTACGATTTACAACCTGAATAGCAGATAAAGAAATAGATCTTTCAGCCCAATTCTACTTTTTATGCATAATCCATCATACAAAATGTAATCAAATAGAAAAGTCTCTTTTTAAAACTTGTTTTATTAGTTTTAATCTTTTAACTTTATGCATCAAGCAAAAATTTAATTATATGCAACATTCTCTGACTGGAAGAAATTTGTTTAACATTTAAACCTATTTTCTGCACATTCCAGCACATAAAATAAAATAAAAAAAATTGTGTTTACACTCACTCTTTCAAATAGATGCAAGTAAAACACAGCAGAAAATAAATAAAATCAAAGGCTAGCAGTCCTGTTGCTCTATTTTCACCTGTAAAGCAGGAGTGGGTTAGGCGGAGGTTTACCCTGGTGCAGGTTTGCCGCAGCGGTCAGTGGAAGAATCCGCGAGTTTCTCTGTGAATTTCCCATTACGTCGTAGCGCACTCGGTGCTTGCTTGGAAGTTTGGGGGTTTTTTTCGCTGTAAAAAGAAGTTTTCTTTCCACGCACAACGGGCGCTAATGTTTTTGTCACTTTTTACAGAATCAAACTCAAAAAAAGGTCAGTACTTCCACGCTTTAAACGCTGTACGCTCATACTCTCTCCCGCACTCCATATATTATCCATTGTTGATCTGCACACAGCTGTTGTCACGAACATTGCACTCGCTTGCGTCACTGTCATGAGACATTCTCGCAAAAAAAATCACGGTTTTAATAACGCATTAACGCAGCGTGCTTACGGGAAAGTAACAGTAATCTAATTACCGTTTTTGCAATAGTAATCCCTTACTTTACTCGTTACTTGAAAAAAGTAATCGGATTACAGTACTGCCCATCTCTGGTCGCGAACATAGTGTGACATTTTTAACTCATTCTGTGTTTGTGACTTTGATCACAGTGAAATAAACTTTGCACTCTCTGACACAAAGACAGAGAAAGTACCAGGCTCAGTGCACTAAACACTGCTTGCACTGGTATGTTGTGAGTCGTGCTTCGTATTTGTGCGCGTCCCATGGCATCTTTCCATTATTTCTGCAGTCATGTTCAGGTTACTTTATTGTTACATACACCACACACAAATGTTTCCAGAGATTCAACCATGTTTCAGGACAATAAATGAGAAGGAGGAGACTAAAAGGGAGCGAGTCATCGGGTAATAAAACCTCTGTGCACAAGTGTTTGCTGACAATCTGCTAGCTAACAAAGCAGCCAGAAGGAGGCTTTTGCATCAGCACCCTCTTTGTGAGCACTTTACCTTTGGCGTACATTCACCAACATCCATTTTCAGGGTTGCTGGCTGATTCTAGGTTTGCATGACTGAGGGCTTATAGACATGCTATGCACAATAAATAAGATAAAATAAGGCCCCTGTGGATTTGTCAGTGAGTTAATGTTGCCACCTAGCTTGTTGTTTTCTATGATCTGTTATGGAAATGAACTCTGTGAGCGTCACCAGGGGATTTCAGGCACAGAGTGCGTGTTGGCCGAGGGTCAGGTAGCACGACAGCGGTCAGCACATTATTACCTGTCCTGTTAAACCTTGTCATCACATGAGTCAGACCCTGATGTTGTTGAAGGTCATCTGAACATGTCATTAAACGCAGGAAAAAAGACTCTTTTTCACCAACTATCGATCTACGCTGAATTAACAAGAGGCCGAACCTTGAAACTGCTTGAACTGTGTTTACAGCATCCATCACTGGTTCGCACTGTCACAGAGAGGCAGAGCGCCGGGCATTTTTTCTTGTCACTGATTTTATTTCTACTTGTATTTTCCTCATAATCTTCCGAGTTCATAACTCACGCACCTCTTTATTCACAGTTCTGACAAATTTGACTCCGAATGAGAAGCATTGTTGCCGTCTTGTCAGAGCAGATGTTACAAACAGCTCTGAGGTTTGCGTCACCGAATCTGGTTTCTCAGCGGCAAAAGATCTTTTGTCGTTCAGATAATTAAAGAATAAATAATGAAGGGTTTGTGTTTGGATCGAGAAGCGGTGAGTTAATCAAGGGCGTTTTTGGTTATCACAAGGGAGACTTCAGCAGCGGCGTCCTGTGCCAAGTCACACTCGCTGCTCTGCACGGAGAGCAATCATCTTGCAGTCGGATCAAAGCTTCTACTGTATTTCACGTCTCGCACAAGGCCGCCGTCTCATGGCGAAATCTTTGGCTGGTTTCTTGTTAGCGAAAGCGGGATGGATTATTATTACTCTTTCCAAATCTGCCACCTCAGTGACCCAAGGGTAACCCCCTTCTTTCTCTGGGACTTACATATCTGACTCCAATTACAAAGCAGCTGTAGGGAGGTAGCATGTTATTCCGTATCACTGAGTGTGATCAGCTCAGTATAACAGCTCCTGTGATTAGCTGCTAGATCCTTTAAGTAAGTCACATTTGTGGCGTTTGTTACCCAAGCGTAAAGGAAGGATGTACTTTTGATCTTTTATATCCTGTAACATGCTCACCTATCATGCTGGCTCACTGCACAAGGTGATCTGTGCATTATACCGTAAACAGGAAAAAGGTTTCCCGTTTTCACAGGATGGGCAGTAAATAAATGAATTAAATTAGTGGGCT